AACCCACTATCCAGTCGAGCGAATCAGGACTGAGCCCTTGAACTGTCAAAACATGGGAAATAGCAGAAAAAAGCCGGAAAGAAAAATAAGAAGGAAAATAGGGGAAAAATCAGAGAATAATAGGAAGAGCACAATACAACATATATATTAAGAGCCCTATTAATGTGTGAAAGGGCAATTGACCAGTATAAACCCCCCTATAAAGTAGCAATGAATGGGAGTTTCAAGAGTATCAAAGAAGCTATTCCTGGTCTATTTCCCTCTTTATTCCGAAGTATATGCGTAGCAGTCTTAAACCCACAACCGTTCGCATCAAAACAACATCGAGGCCCGCCCTTCCTGGTCATTCGGCTCAAACCAATTTACTTCCTCAACATTCCTAGGGAAATCCATACCTTCGGCCAAAACAAAAGACTGTTTTTCCCTGCGGACCCTTTTTTTTATTATTCTTTTTTTCTCCGGCCCATAGAGCCCTGAAGTGCACGAGTTTCATTAATGCCCTTCCCCCCCAACGCTGACCTCATCGTCAACTTCCTCCAGAGCTCCAACTTTCTACCTACAACTACTCCTACTCTTTTCTACCCTCTCTACCATCTGTCTCAAGGTATTAAACCTCATTGATCTTCATTGATCTTTATTCACCAGACACATGATTTCTCTTTTCGAGGTCCTCTACGGTCTGTGAGCAATTTGGAGATACCACTCGGTTCTTTTCGCCCCGATTTCCCCTGGGGGTGAACACTCTCCTACGCCATTACACCTTCCAGCCCATTCGCAACTCCCACGCAGCCATGGGGGATTTCAATTTAGATTTTTCATCCGATTCGGAGTTGAGCTCCGTGCCTCCATCACCAACATTAGCAGCGCGGTCGTCACCAGAACCTGCAGAGCGGTACCCAACGCCTTCATCCCAAGAGGGAGCTGAACCTGCTGAGGGTTCTGCACGCCAAGCCCGTCCCGCAAAGAGGAGACGCAACCCCCTACCAAAGGAACGGACCACTCAGTATCTCGATCTATCAAAATCTCTCTATGAACAAAATGATCAACATAATTTGCTCGTTCAAACCCTGCGTCATCAAAAAGACATTGTCGTCATCGCTGGCGCTGGCATTTCCACGGCTGCGGGTAGTAAGTTTCTGCTTTTGGATTCTGCCATATTCGAACCCAACTCTTAACTCTGCATAGTTCCGGACTTTCGCTCCACAGACGGTCTCTTCAAATCATTGCAAAAAAAGCACAATCTGAAAGCTTCCGGAAAGCTTCTCTTCGATGCTGCCGTCTATCAGGATGACGCACTGACGGCGCCCTTCCACGAAATGGTCCGGTCGCTGTCGGAGGAGGTTGCCAACATCAAACCCACCGCCTTCCACCAAATGCTTGCCCGATTAGGTATCGAGTCTCGCTTGAAGCGACTTTACACCCAAAATATCGATGGCATTGAAACCTCTATGGAACCATTGGCAACTGAGATCCCGCTTAACGTCAAGGGTAGTTGGCCGATCACTATTCAACTGCACGGCAGTATTGAAAAGATGGTATGCCAGAAGTGTCGCTACCTCGACAACTTCAAGCCCGATATGTTCAAGCAAGCCGACCCGCCGGCCTGCACCGAATGCACTGATAACGACAACGCTCGCCAGATCGTCGGCCAACGGAGTCACGGCATCGGCCGCATGCGCCCGCGTATCGTGCTCTATAACGAGCACAACCCCGACGAAGAGGCGATCACCTCCGTTATGAACGCCGATATCAAGTCCCGTCCTCGTGTCTTGATTGTCGCCGGTACCAGCTTGAAGATTCCCGGTGTCCGTCGACTCGTCAAGAGCTTGTGCACAATGATCCGCAGTCGCAAGGATGGTGTCACGATGTTCATCAACAATGAACCCCCAAGCGGCAAAGAATTCGACGGCTGCTTTGACTTGATTATCAAGGGTTCGTGCGATGAAGTTGCACACCAGGTGAACCTGAAATCATGGGAGTCAAAGGACACTACCCCGTGCGTGTACGAATCCTCGCCCGAGCCCATTCCTCGTAACTTGAATTCTACGGACGTTTCCGTCGTGGTCACACCGAAAAAGAGACCTCGCGCAGACACTGGTCTCGCCACACCTTCTTCCAGTCACGACGAGAAGCCCACGAAAAAGCCGGCCAGCAAAGCTACGAAAATCAAGATCGAGAACCCAGCAAGCAATGGCCGATCCATCCAAGACATCATCAAGAAAGAAAAGCCTGCTGCTTGCAAGCCTACCTCGAAGTTCATCAGCAAGCCCGCTCCCAATCCTCGTCCCAAAAAGGCTGCAACAGCCGCTGCCTCGAAAAAGCGTGGCACGCCCGCCGCCCCGGTCAACAAAATTGCCTCGTTCGGTCGTGTTACTAAAACCTCTCAAGCCGCCGGCAAGCTCAGTACAAAGGCCGACGGCAAACCTATGCAACCGGTTCCAGCGGGCGCTTCGAGGAACAATGGTCCTCTACCAACAACGGAACAGCCCGAGAAAGCAGACAAGCTCAACCCAGAGTCTCTTCCTCGGTCAGTGGCTTCCTCATGACTGTTTTATGTTCCGGTCATGATATTGATATCTTATTCTATGTTGACTGCAAGTTCATGACATGATGCATGGTTACCAAATGGCGTCCTTGGTGTTATTTTTCTTCATTGTCTTTCGGAAACAGTGCTACCTTCACTGCTCCCCCTATCCCCTTCTGAGGTTTCTATTTCTTCACCTATGTTTACATACTTCCTCTTCGTGGACTGTATTCCTACTTGCATCACCTGCGTTTGCTTTAGGTTGATGATTGCTGTCCTCTTTTCGAAAGATACCATTGATAGACCACGGTTTCTCGCATGGGTTGGCTCGGGCGTTTTTTCGGGAAAGAAGCTGGCTTGTTCCAGCGTGATGGGGTCTCTTCGTTTCAATTCTTCTTCTATTTTATTTCTTCTTCTCGTTTTCGCTCATGCCAATCTGCATGGGTGTTTAAGAGGTCATGTTGGATTATCTAAATGAGATATTCCTGATATGAGTCTCTCATACAATTTCTTAGGCGCTGTCCCGTTTAATACATTTTCCCTTGTTCTCATGAGATATAGCTCATGTCTCCTTTTCTTGTTCCTGTAGTCTTTGGTGTGGTAGGGCGCTGGTTCTATAAATATATCTACTCAATCTCGCTGCGCAACTTGTACTGCATGTCGGGGGTTGATATACCTTAGACCTATCAAAGTTACCTATAATATTCGACTGTATCCACGTATATAATAGTACTGACGGGGCGCAGCATAAAATCCATTCGTCATTATGTGTATAGTACAGCAGAGCATTCTTTTCTTTTGCCAGCCAACCTCTCCCAATGCGATCCAGGATGTGTCGATTCGGCTCGTCCACATATAAACCCCTTTGACATGACCTAGATAATTAGCCCAACCCAAGATCATCCCGCAACTGACTACCAGGCCCATCCTCATCTTCATCCGTCTCCTCGGCATCGGGATCATAAGGCCCTCTCTTCGCACCAGGCTCACGGTCCAAATCCTCCACATGCTCAAGATCATCCTCACGCGGAGCATGTTCCTCCTCCTCTTCATCATCCTCACTTTCCTCCTCTTCTTCCTCTTCCTCTTCGACATCTTCCTCTTGAGTCTCGTCCCCATCATCCCCAGCAGGCGGACCAACAGCTACCTCCACATCTCCATCCCGCTTCACCTTTTTCGCGGGATTATCAACCATGTCGACATCGCCATCGCCCTGAGTCGCACCCTCGCCTAATGCATCCTGCGTCGAGCCATTCTCATCCACCTTCTTCGGTTTGCGCTTCCCGGCTTTGATTTCCGTGTATGCCTCCAGTTCCTGTTCGAGTCTGCCGCGGAAAGAGTCGAGTTCTAGCTCGGAGAGGGCGTTGAAGACGTCTGATGGGGCGATGGTGCGCTTGAGGGTTGCATCATTGGCACTGAGGTTGCATCGAGGGTTAGTTCAACATTTCATACCATCGGGATAGAGTAGAATAAAATCGAGATTTACCATCCCACATATTCGGGACGAGAGGACTCGAATGCAAACCCCAAAGGCAGCGGGCAAAGGGTAAAACATACTGTGAAGACAGATAGGAAACAAACACCGTAGCAGCCTTCTGCATAGCCAACACGGCATCCTTCTGGATCGTAGTGTTCGGTGGGAGAACCGACTTGGCGAGACGAATCGTCAGTGAGCGTGGTAGGAGATAGTCCTACAGGTTACCAGAGAATAGCGTTAGCCTGACCAGATTCTCTTTTCCACATGCCGTATATGAAGAAGTCAATGGGCATTGTATCCTCGTGTAATACATAATGCATCATGTCTCTGGCTTTGTCTTCTTACCTCGACACTTGCGCCCGCCTCGGCCCGAGCCTTCAACTGCTGCTCTGTCGCAAAGACGGGCTTCTCGCTCTGCGGTGCTGGCGGCGACTGCTGCAGTAGGGAATCATCGGGATCAGCGGGCGTCACTGAGGACGTGGATTTTCGAGGTGGCATCTTTGTAGGTTTGAGGTTGGTAGGTGTCTTTGTGCTGATTGCGTGGTTCAAGGGATCGGGGGGGTTGACGATGTGGCCCCCCTTGGATATTGAATCGAGTCAAGGTCTGATTGTTTCTCTCTGTAAAGGACCTTATGGTGTATTTAGGGGTGGCTGTGTTATAGGCTTTGGAGATGTGTCAACGTTCGAGGGTGGCAAGGAAGACGCGCCAACGCGTTGGATTTCTCGATGCGCGAGTGTGGGGGCTTGGCGGTGATGTCTACTCTACTTCGACATGATTTCTATTTCGATCTTCGCTTCTACAGTAATGCGTATTACAATTTACAGTTTTGGTGGGTTAATTTGGAAAAGAGTCATTTTACTGATGTTTTTATACCACTGAAATTGAGATCGAACCGAGGGAAGGATGGAATGCCAACATAAAACGCCCACTTTTTGGTATCCAGAAAGATAGAATCAAATGAGATAATGAGTTCATAACACGAGCAGGAAGAACAGCCCTTACTCGGCCATCTCCTCGTCATCACCTTGTCCGTTGCCCCAGAGACCCTCGATACTGAACTCCTTGGCCCACTCGGTGACGACCGCGACCTTTGTCGTGTCGACGCCAGCCTCAACATTGCCGGCAGGAGCATCCGCCGAGACCACAGGAAGCACGGGTGCATTGGCCCAGCCTTGGATGCGGCCATCTCTCCAGTCGTTGATAACGGTCATAGCAGCGCTCTCGATGTTGGGCACACCACGCTTCCCGAGACGGCCGCGCTTGCGGGCCACCTGGACCAAGAAGTCGGTGGTCTTGTCGCCATTTGTGGGGAAGAGTGCGGTGATGCCGTACAACTCGAGCATCTTGGCGAGGAGGTTCTCCGATGAGGATAGACGCTTCATCAGGAGGTTGACTGCGGGAATGGGATCCTCGATCTGCTTGGGTGGTACAGCGTTGAGGAGAATCAGACGCGCCTGCTCTTCTTGCTTCTTGTTCTTCTTGCCAGACTTATCACTGGAGCTGGGGAAGACGATTCCAGGCGAGTCAATCAGCTTGAGCTTGCTGTCCAGCTTGACCTGGCGCAGGCTAGTGGTGACGCCAGCCTCGGCGCCTGTCGGGCATGCGTTGCTCGAGCCCTTGTTCAGACGTGCAGTGAGTGCGTTGATAACGGACGACTTGCCCACATTGGGGTATCCAATGACACCGACAGAGATGGCTCGCTTCAACTGCTTGGCGCCAGCGTATGACTTGAGGGCACGGAAGAGCGTATCCGAAGTACCCTTGACTGTCAACTGCTTGTGGTCGAAGCTGTGTGCGTTGGCAGTGGTACCGCTGGATGCCTTAAGGGGGAGAGTGGGGAAGGAGCGGCGCAAGTGAAGCAACCAGCCCTTGAGCACTGGGGGTGGAACCAGATCGATCTTGTTCAGAATAAGAATCAACCGCTTATTGCCACCATCTGCCATCATAATTTCGCGCTCAATATCCTTAGAGCGGGTGCCCTCGGGGTCACGGGCATCGAGCACGTAAAGCACGACATCGGCGTTGTCGGTGACCTGCTTGAACACCTTGTCGAATTGGCGTCGTGAGCTCTCCTTTGAGTAAGACTTTGAATTGACCAATGGCGGGGCAGATTCATCAATAGTTGCGCCGCCCTCCTCATCATCCTCGTCCATCTCATCGTCGTCGTCTTCATCTTCCTCCATGTCCTCGTCCTCGCTTTGGTTATCGTCATACTCCACGGCACGGGCGCGTGCTGACGCGAGAAGAGCAGCCATCGGATTCGAATCGTTGCCCTCGGCATCCATATCATCATCCATCATGTCGTTCTCGTCGATATCAACAGCCTCAGTGCCAGCCTTCGCGGGCAGGCCTTCAGCCTTGCGGGCTCGTGCCTCCTCGCGAATACGCTGTTGCTCCTCGGCCTTCATGCGCTTCCGCTCTTCGATGTCATGGAGGAGCTTATCCTTGTTGGGGAAAAGATTGGGAATGCCCGGGTCCTTCTTGATCTTTGACCGCCATTCGGGGTTCTGCAGAGAGAAGAGTCAGAACCTTCGATCAGAATCATTGTGGAGATATTGTCTGAAATACCTTTTTTGCGAGCTTTCTTTGCTTTCTCTGCTTCTGAACGGCAGACTTTTCGATCTTATGTCTAAGGCGGACGGGAACCCGCTTGGAAGTCTTGCCTGTAGACCGTTAGAATTGCGCCTCAGGACCGCGTAAACGAGTGGTAAAAAAAATTGTATCATACCGAAGCCACTCTTAGTAACCATTTTGAATGCACGTATTTGTTGATCACAAAAAAGTGCACAGCAAACCCTCGAAGTCTGTCCGCAGCGGGAGTAGAAAAAGTTGAGTGCCAAGATTTCCCAGCCGATAAGCGGATTAGCAGTTGGGCCGATCTCCGAATTTTTTTTTGAATGACTAAGCTTGCGGGACGGTTGCCAAATTAGGTATGTAACCGGCGTCGGGGAAGCAAGAAATATATTTGACGCCTCAGCTTCTATGCTCTTCTCTTGAAGTTCTCATTTCTTATTGTTGATACATTAGAGAAAAATTCCCAACGGCTTTCGTCTTGTCTTTCACTTGACATCGGTTTCCCTGTCTACTCGCCATTGTCTGCGCGCATCAACTCTCCCCGCATATCCATTTCCCCCACCATGTCCTCAACAACAGGATCATTCTCTGCGCCTACGCAGGTCCACACATTCGATGGTCTTCTTTCTGACTTCGATGGCACAATTGTGGACTCCACTGACGGTATTCTATTCCCATTCGAGTCCTCCTACGATCAATTGGAACCAATGCTAACCATCCGGTGTTAAACAGCAATTGTGAAGCACTGGCACAAGTGAGTCATAAGACCCACTGCAACATGACCTCCGCGAACACAACTTTAACATAATTTGCGCATTAGAATTGGCGACGAGCTCGGCGTCGACCCCAAGGTTATCCTCGCGACCTCTCATGGCCGCCGCAGCATCGATGTAATGGGTCTATACGACCAGACCAAGGCCAACTGGGACTGTAAGTCTACCGGAAATTCTGCCAGCCTAACCATAGGATATAAACTGACAACATCCTCCCGCCACAGATGTCAATGAAATCGAAGGCCGCATCCCGAAAGAATTTGGCTCCGACGCCGTCGAGATCCCCGGCGGCCGCGACCTCATCGCAGCCCTCGAGACCTCAGGCGCAAGATGGGGTGTTGTAACGTCCGGCACGCGCCCTCTAGTCGACGGCTGGCTGGAAGTTCTCGGTCTCCCACACCCCAAGAACTTGGTGACAGCAATGGACGTACCGCTCGGCAAGCCGGACCCGCGCTGCTACCTTCTCGGCCGGAAGCAGCTTGGCATTGAAGAGTCAACCTCGATTGTCGTGCTTGAGGATGCACCGTCTGGTATCAAGGCTGGTAAGGCTGCTGGTTTCAAAGTGATTGCGTTGACAACGACGCATTCGCTGCAGAAGCTTCAGGAGGCTGGCGCGGATTGGATTGTGGAAGATTTGAGGAGCATTTCGGTCAAGGCTGTTGTGGATGGCCAGGTTCAGATCGAAATCAGGAACGCGTACCAATAGATGGTCGTTGTCGTTTCGGTTTCGCCGATTCGCTGCTGCATGCGCAGGGGTGTACTGTTGCGAACGCAACTGCGTAACGGGTTCCTTCGGAGTTGGACGCACAGCGTAAATGTGTCATTGTAAAGATGTCATGCCTTTTCTAGAATTAACGCGCACTACATACAGGTTGGATTAGTATATATTCAAATTCTTTTACACTTTGTTATCAATCCTTGGTTTATTGGGAGCGTGGATATATTTTTTGCCTAGAGAACTTGCAAACTGGCAAATGTCTATCTGCCATTTGGTCGTATTCCTGGAAGACGAGGACTGTAGCGACTGGTGCTGAAAAATGGTACCTTGTATCTACGTACGTAGAGAGGGAACGTAATTTTTTGGGCTGCTGTCTCAGGCTATGGAGCTGGTTCTGACGCCCATTGGCCTTTTAATCGGGGCTAGATGCTCCCCGACCGCAAGCACTAGGCTCTGCATATCCTGAAATGGTAAAAGATACAGAGTCTTGAAGCAGCTCAGCTGGTTCCCCGGGCGGGGATGTAATCGGACCAGGCAAGGTGCGAGATGCAGGATAGAAGTACGTATGCACGGGTTCCACTACAACCCACCATGTGTAGATACTTTGAAGCAGGTATGGAGCTCACCGCAGCGTTGCACACGGATCGGCGATGCTATCGTTGCAGTACGAAGTCCGGATTGATTTAATGACAGCTGACAGGTCTCATAACAAGGATGGTGGCTCCTCTAGATGATTCGGCCAGCAAGGATCAAGCTGTATAGCTGTTGACACGGTAACTGGACGCCCTAGAGCACCATGGCGTGCGTGGTGGTCACCTTTCGTAGGTATGCAGCTACGCAATCCTTGCAGCTTGAAGCCGAATTTCTTCGCCAGAGCGTTACAGCATGCAAATGTACCTGCTACTCACATCTGGTCCAATCATTTGGGCAGGGCGGGCCGCGAACTACCGTTCATGCACGCTTGAGCCTTGGGTGGATATGAAACCAGACTGTGAGCACGGAAATGTATCACCGAAGAAAGTGACTTCAGGTTTGGGAAAAAAGAAATCCCTGATCTGCTCTTATTGGAGCTGGGCGTTCTAGGGCCTGCAGCTGTACGGAGGAGAAACCACTGCAGCTGCAGCCAGCTCTTTCGGGAAAGGGGTTAGATGCTCACGAGGATATGGATACTCTTTCGTCCCGGCAACTTTGGAACAACAGCATTCGGCAGATGTCATTGGTGGGTCAAGTGGTCTTGGAGATGGACACATCCTCCCTGACTCGGGGAACCTGGGGCGGGAGCGAATGTTCTCTCCAATGGTGTTGAGGAAGGCCACTCGCCCGGTGAGAACAGCATGCAAGGGGGCTAGGCTACATCCCGCGCAAGAGAGTCGGGAAGAGGCGATGTTCAAATGCAGACTCCTGAATATCGTCACAATTGACTGAACCAAGAAAGGCGATGTGGAAGAGCGCATTCGCTCCAAACCGGAGGGGCTACTCGTCTACGAACCTATTACGTTGTACTCCGTAATCTGTATAAAGATGTGTGATGACGGATGAGGGGTAAACTGCAGTCTCATCACATAAAAGCAGGTTGTGTTCTCATGCGCTTTCCAATTCCGATCTGGACCACGCCATGGGGATGCACCGGGTTGGATGGCACGTCCAATCATGTTGTAGACCGTTCCTTTGTGGCTCGTTCTGTAGATTATTCTGCGAGCTGGAGCACTGGCCTCACGAAATTGACAAATACTGAATTCCATCCTTGGAAGGTTATATGCAGGGCGCTCGATATGGTTGCGCACCGCCACAGACCCCTTCTCAGCGCCACAAGGGATACACGAGGATGGCTGCGGGGATCTATCACATTGATAGATCCGCACAGCTCAGCCACTTGGCTTCTGGCCGAAATACTCCGGACGCCTAAAATATCCTGGCTGACGAGTTAAGAAAGACCACTAGGTCATGCACCGCTATGGATAGGGGTTTGATAACATAATCCGAGGGTGGAAGACAATCCGACCTCGGAGGATCAAGTCACCCTCAATGAAGGTTTGAAACCCGAGGGATATTTGATTTTGCTATCACATTGTCGATCACATCAAGTTTCCCCCGGGGAATTATTCCTCTCCTTTTCATTTTCGCACACTTACGGAGTACTATGTGGTTGTTGCAAGATCCGATATTTGAGATTGTGTTCCCGGCGTAACGGTTCACCTCAGATCCAATCAATAGTCGGATGGGGCGGAGGGATCCGTGCGAGAAATACGTTACGGATCGACCCAGGGGTCGTCATAGCAGATCCCCCGATCCCCCGAATTTTTACGAAGTACGGAGTACTATGTTGTCGTACAACATAGCTCTCTGTGCAACATTACTGTAATAGCCTAAATAGGTATTAAACCTCCGTACCCAGTACGATAATACACCTTTGTTCTACTTTATACTCCGTACTTCGTATATTACGTAGCATTTGAAGGCGTAGACCAGACATCAAGAATTCTCGGACGGACTGGAGTGATATCAAACTGGTCCGTGTCCACGCCTCTCGGGATTTGCCTATGATGTACTCCGTACGGAGGACTGTTCTCGCCATCACTTTGGACCATGAGACCATCTTGTGGGTGGGTTGGTGGGGCATGATGTGCCAAGATGAAAGTGAGCACAATCGCCCAAAAGAGGAGTCATGAATCCATCGTAGGTCTCGTCGGGCGTGATGCGCGGGCAACGATACGCGCCCTGATGCACATGAAGCTTGAATGGGAAACCGACAGCTAAGGTTTACGTCGTCACAATCACGTCCATCACAGCGTTACTTCTAAAGAGCAAGCACAATGACACAGCACGGTACAAAGTTTGAGGGAAAGAAAATCACGTTGTTATGGGATATTCTCATATGATCTACCCACTACGTGGAGCTGCTAGTAGCCTCAAACAAGGTCATTGCTATAGATTTTTCTCCGGATCAATCCTCCCTGGTGTCAATCACTCCACCCTAGACTTCTGGTCTATATAACTGGTGCACTAGGCATGATCAACCTTGGATCACTGTAGCGTTGACGGATTTTTGGGTCAGATCATGCTACCGGATAGAGCAGTCAAAAGGTAGATCACTAAATTGGGGAGGGGTACGCTTCTAGCTTGCAGCTAGAGCAGAGGTTCCGCTACACCGGTTCATTGTTGCCTTATTCTCTCCGGGTTCCACTATCCATGTGTCGACGAGGTCAGAGTTTGGGTTTCTACGCGATCCTATGAGAAGGCAGGCATTTGGGGGTCTCTCGGCTCCATATTTTAGATTCGTCGCCCAGGGATCTTGAATTTTTGCTGCCAATGGTTCTATACAAAGTAAAAAATTATAAAATGTCCACTATGCACAACATACAATGTACAATGTGACTGTCTAACTGCCATATTAAGCGTGGGATGAAACAGAACTGAGACAGAGAAAAGAAAAAAAACCATAATGCCAAGGGCAGTCTCCGGATGTCCGGGCAGTGATCATCTTTAGGCGCATGTGCATGTTAAGGGGGTGGACAAAGTTGGGGCTGCAACCCTCGTGACTTGCGTGCATAGAGCGACTTATTTCAAGACGTTTAGCGCTTGTCGAGCAGGGTCCAACCAGATTCCCGGGGGAAAAAAAGACAAGATGGTGTCGCACCTAGAATATAGTTGGAGCCTGGAGGAAGCCGAATAACAGGGGGCACAA